AGCTCAGCCCACCAGGGGGCGGGTCTGGCTGGCATGTGGTGCTGGGGATCGAACCGCGGTCCCTGTGCTTTGCCAAGCTTGTTTCAAGTAGGTGCCTTAGACCACTGAGCCATCTCTCCAGCCCTTTTTCTTATTTTAAATGATGTTTATTTTTGGTGTTTTTTTGGTTTGTTTGGGGTTTTTTTGTTTGTTTGTTTTTGTCTTCCTTGAATCTTGCTATGTAATTCAGGCTGACCAGGAGTCACTTTGTAGTCCAGACTGGCCTCAAACTCAGGGTAATCCTGCTGCGTCAGCCTCCCCAGTGCTGAGGTTACAGGCATGTGCCACCCCACCAGCTCTTAAATAGTGCATTTATACCAAATATGATTTTTTTACGAAAAAAACTTTATTTTAGTATAAATATCACTAGATAACCTTCTAACTAGTGTTTTTATCCAAAGTAGTCTTTCCTTTCACCCTCTTTATACAATGTCCACATTGTCCTGAGAATTCTGCTATATTTGTTGCGGTTCTCTCAATACTTTAGCATTGCTTGCTTTATTTTTGTTTCTAGTTGGCAAATGAGTAGCCTTGAACAAAAGTCCCAACCCTCCACATAGCAGACAGAATCCACATTATGATGAATAGGAGCTGCATGTAATGTCCAGCATTCCATTTTGACTGGATGGTGACAAAATAAGCTATCTCAGTTAATTTTAAAAGTATTCTGAATAGATTTGGATCATTCATGGCCTGAAGCAATTTTCTTGATAATAAGATATTTAATTAAAAAGTGTTTTTTTACTTTTTGCTGTTGTTGTTGGTAGAAAACCAAGCAAAAGCAAAGGAATCTGACCTATCAGATACTCTGAGTCCAAGCAAGGAAAAAAGCAGTGACGACACTACAGGTGAGTTTTAACCTAACACCTACAAATCTGCAGATAGTATTGGCAGGTTAGGCAGTAGTTTAATGTGACTGGAGATTTCAGTGTTTGCATTTAGAGTAAAAACAGATTCCTTGAATCTTGGATATTTTATTGAAACTACTTTCAACTATTCAATAGCTGTATAAATTCTAGTTACTTTTTTTGATAATAATAGATTGTTGGTAGAACTAAGTACTGTCTTTAATTATTCTCCCCCCCTCCACTCTCAACAGACGCCCAGATGGATGAGCAAGACCTAAATGAACCTCTTGCTAAAGTATCCCTATTAAAAGGTACTGTAACATGTTTTTAGGAAATTTTAGACCAAATCATCAGATTCGTACTTTAATGTAAAGTCTGTTGTATCTATTGTGTGAAATTGTAAATTTTAGTTGAGATTAAGTTCAAGAAATGAAATTTAAAATGTATGTGTTGGTGCCAAATGCTTCAAAAATATTTAAATTCTTGAATAATTTCAATTAATCAAGACCATAAAGAGTGGGGCGAGTCTGATCTCTTTCATCAGAGTATGCTCCTCCCACTGCTCAAGCTAGAGTCCTTTTTCTTACTTTCTTTTATTAGGTGCTGGCCTGATCATTGTCAGCTCTGCAAACAAAATGGACTCTTACCATTTTCTGTTACTTTCTGATTAAAGGGTTTTTTTTTTGGGGGGGGGGGTTTGGTGTTTTTTTGTTTTCTGTTTTAAAAAAAGTCCTAAAATGCAAAGCTGTAAGCAGATTTTTAACCTTGTGTCTCTGAATGAGAACTTTATTTTTTTCTTTCTTTTGTTTTTTTCTCCATAATGGGGATCAAGCTCAGGACCTTGTGCTTGCCAGGCAGGTGCTTATGCTGCTGACTATCTCCAGCAACTGCAAACTTTGATCTTAATTAGGATAAGATGAAAATCAACTTTCTAGAATCACCCATTTGCTGTTCTTTTATGCCATTACATTAGGTGTAAAGTTCTTAATTTTCTGATTCTCTTCGTCCTCCAAAACATATTTTAGTTTCTAAAATATTCGTCAAGAAATTTGGGACTGAGAAATTTTAGTTGTGAAAAAAACAAGCAGTTCATGTAATGAACTCTTGTCTTAATTTCTAAAAAGAAAAGTGCATTTATTTCTTGATATTTATTTAGAATGAGGTGGGTAGAAGATAAATCAATATTTGTGAAAGTGCCATAGGGAATCTTATGGTAAACCTATTTGTCAGAATTTATATTGCCTGTGATCCACAAGAAAAACTTCACATTTAAGTTCAGACCAGTGAGTTAAACATAGTGGTGGAATGTAGCAATATCAGGAAGCTCTCTGTGATTGGAACAGTAGGAGCCTGTGAAAGTTTTTTTGTAGATGTGCATTTTGTTCTGGTCAGGCAACTAAGAGATGTCATGTTCCAGACTCTGAGCTTTAAGATGATAGAGTGAAGGAGGCCTTAGTTTTATCCCACTTGACTCAGCACTCAAGGCTGAGGCAGGAGGATCACAGAGTTTGAAGCCAGCCTGAACTAAATAGTGAGACCCCCCCAAAAAATAAAATAAAAATAAATAAATAAATAAATAAATAAATAGTGAGACCCAGGTTTGGGGCTGGTGAGATGGCTCAGTGGTCTAAAGCACCTACTTAGAACAAACTTAGCTAAAGCACAGGGACCGTAGTTCAATCCCCCAGCACCACATGCCAGCCTGCCCTGCCCCCTGGTGGGCTGAGCTGCCCCCCCCACATAAATTAAAAAAAAAAAATAGACCCAATTTCCAAAAAAAAAGTGTATCTCATCAGTAGATCAATCAACTGATGAAATTTAGAGTCCTTATAATCCAGTCATATCTAGAAATACTGACACGCGCTGTGCTTTTCTAATTTCCTAGGAGTTCCTCAATGTAATCAAATTGATAATAAAGATTAGCTGTAAGAAGTACAAGGTTTGTTTACATGGTCATTTGATTATTTCATAGATTTGAGTGATTGTTATGACAGGTTCAGAGGCTTTCTGGATGCAGAAATGACATAATCAGACCTATTTTGGGGAAAGCTTTATTTGATGACCTAAATTAGGTAGGGATCACAGTTAAAACAACATTAGGAGATGTAGGTAATTATTGAGAATCTTAAGTAGAGTTGTTGCTTGGAAATGTAAATAAAAGAATAAAATCCCACTTAAAGCCCTGTTTTTCTTGTCTTGCATCTCTCCCATGGTAATCTAGAATCTATAAGCATGAAAAACTAAATATGGGGGTGAAATAAAAGTTACATATAACTCTAACTTTTTTGAAAAAGATTGATTGATTGATTGATTGATTTGGTATAGGGTCTTGCTATACAGCTCAGACTCATAGTGATTCTCCTGTCTCAGCCCCCCCAGTGCTGGGATTACAAGTGTGCACCACCATGTCTGATTTCAGTGGCCAGCCTGGCATGGGGCTAACATGGCATGCAGTACCAGGGATTGAACTTGGGTCCTTGAGCTTGCCAGACAGGCACGTAGACCACTTAGCTATCTCCCTGGCCCTATAAATCCAACTTGTGATACTGAAAAGGTGGTGCTATAATTAATAGAAATATTTATTTCTGGAAGAAGAGATGTTTTGTTAGGGATAGTGGTAGCTTTAGTTTGTCATGTACTGAGCAGAAATGGTAACCCTAGGTTCTGGTTTGCCCAGGACCATTTATCCCTGTTGTGCTAGCATAATTATTAAGTGTTCGTTCCCTTTCACATTCAAAGACATTCCAGTTTTAAATGATCACCCTAGGAACTAGAGATGAAGTTTTTAAGTACAGATCAAAAACTCAGATGAAAAGGCTTTTGATGTATTTTTGAGATATTTATTGATCTGACAGATAGAAAGATAAAGCAATTGAGAAGGCTGCAGTCTTTGGATGAAAAAGGTATATTGATTATGTAATAAATATCTTAATGAATGTAGTAGGCTCTTCAAAGAGCGTAACTGACTTCCTGGCCAGGTACAGGATAGCGTGGAATAGTGATCAGTATGGGATTCCTAAAGGAGGTAGTTAAAAATAAATAAGACTGTGCCAAGAAGGGAAAAGGAGCCATGCATTTCTTTAAAATACTACAAACACAAATAGGATAATGTTTAGAGTAGAAATAATATTTATCCAGAGTCAAGTGTACAAGAGCACAGAAGTATCTGGAAGCCCAGGAACTGTGGGGCAGATTGATGAAAGATAAGACATTGTTGCATAGAAAGCAGTATACACAAATAACCACTAGGAAGAGAGTATACAATGTATTAATTATTGAAACTGTCCTACCAATTTGATTTGAAACTGTCTCATTGCTATTTGTTTCTCAATAAAATTATGAAAAAAGGGGCCGGGGAGATGGCTCAATGGAATAAGCGCTTCCCTGGCAAGCGCAAGGGCCTGAGTTCAATCCCCGGTTCCGCAAAAAAAAAAATTATGAAAAAAAAATTTAAAATAAAAAAGTAATATTTTTTAAAATTTATTTATTTTTGACAACTCATACAGAATTTTACTTAACAAAGTAATATGAATTTCACAGTATTTGTTGTAATATATGGTATTGTCTTACAACCAGCTATTCATATTACCAGATATATACACATAGAATTGGAAGAAGAAAAAACTGGAGCATTGTATAAGAAATTAAGAAAAGAAAAATTACAAACAATTGAAAAAAAGGAGATGAAGCTAATTAGAGCATTGACTGCTTCTTTCCATTTCCATTTTTTTTCTTTTAATTTTTATTTATTTCTTTATTTTGTCCTGTCAGAGGTGAATATTCTATTGGCATCTAAATACTATAAGTGTTTGAATTCAACTAAACATCTAGTACTGTCTAGCAGTCTATAATATTAGTGGGTTATCCTCAGAAGTTATTGACTTGAGCCTTTTACAACTCATCGTATTAATATGGCTTTACTTTATATACCTCATTTTTATACTTTTCTACTGGATGGTTAAGACCAAGATATAGCAAGACCTATATACCCAGAGTTGTAACTTTTGTGTCTGATAAGGTCAGCCAAGCACTCTCAGGATTTATCCTGCAGCCCTGTACCACCTTTTGTACATCCTTTTGTCAGTGTCTGACATGAGGATGAGTCACGGCCATTGCTTGACCAATTTGCTCTCTGTGAAAGCATGAGAAAATGTTTTTTTCTCTCCATGTGACTCTCCCCAGGCTCACTTTAGATCCTCGAGCACATTTCTCTGTGGCTCCATAATCTTCTTGATCAGAAAATTTGGAACACGACTGAGTTACATGTTGTTACAGTACAGGTTCTCCTATGTCCCGAGAATAGTAATAGTTTTGTCAAGCCACTTGAAAGTGAAATGTAGCTGTCATGAAGCTTCTCTCCTAAATACTCCTAAACATAAGTGTATTGCCTACATATTGAAAAATACAGAAATGGGACCTTTGCAGATGTCATAGCTGATGGGACAGCATCTCTGCCACTTAAAAATATCTCTGCCTGCATTCACTACCCTGACCAAAAAGCTTCTCAAGTAGAAGTGATTGGTTGGCTAGAGTATATGTGAGCCTAGAATCAAAACTTTTAACGGGGAAAATAGGATACAATCTATGAATGTGGAAATGCATGTATGTAATATCCTTGACCTACTATATTGTAAAAAATTGTTTTGAGGGCTGGTGAGATGGCTCAGTGGTCTAAAGCACCTACTTGGAACAAGCTTGGCAAAGCACAGGGACCGCGGTTCGATCCCCCAGCACCACATGCCAGCCAGCCCCGCCCCCTGGTGGGCTGAGCTGGCCACACACGCACGCACGCACGCACACACACACACACACACACAAATAAATGTTAAAAATAAATGAATATTGGGGCTGGTGAGATGGCTCAGTGGTCTAACGCACCTACTTAGAACAAGCTTAGCAAAGCACAGGGACCGCGGTTCAATCCCCCAGCACCACATGCCAGCCAGCCCCACCCCTTGGGGGGCTGAGCTGGCCACATACACACACACACACACACACACAAAAATAAATAAATAATTTTTTTTAAAAATGTAAAAAAAATAAATGAATAAATAAATTTTAAAAAATTGTTTTGAAAAATTTGATGAATAACATACCTATCTCATTGAATTGTAATTATGTATATATATACTTTATAGTGCTATTACCATGAATTACACTCACATACATATATTGTTGTGTTTGTATTTGTGTTCTTTCTGCAGGGTAATATGACTAAAAATGCTTACTATAATGTGCTTCTAAGTTTTATTTAACTCATTTAAGCTGTTTTTAACTTTGCATGTTAAAACTTGAAAATTGTCAGTCTTTAATTGTAGAGATTATAGTGTGATACTAACTCTTGCTTTTAAAATGAACGTGTTTTTGTCAGATGACTCACAGGGTGTACAGTCAGAAATTGAGGCAAAACAAGAAATTCAGCATCTTCGCAAGGAATTGATTGAAGCCCAGGAGCTAGCTAGAACAAGTAAACAAAAATGCTTTGAACTCCAAGGTGAGATCCAAGATTATTTTGATTTGTTAGGGGATATGTAGGGGAAACATGATATAATTAGCCCCAAACTTGGAATCACAAGACATGGTATCTTGTTCCATATCCAGCCTTTATGTATTACATATGTGATCTTGGGACATGGATTTAACCTCTCTAAACTTACTTTTCAGATCAGTAAAATGAGGAGTGATACAGTTGCCTTACTTCCTTTATATAGATCAGTAAGGTCTTTACCAATGAAAAATTAATTAAGTATAGGTTGAATATTGCCTTATCTGAAATGCTCCATACCAGAATATTTTGGATTTTAGAATATGTGCATAGATTTTGCCAGTTGAACATCCATTATCCAGAATGCTCCACAAAAGTGTGAAACTATTTAGCATTATATCAGTGCTCACTGAGCATGGTAGCGCAAACCTGTAATCCCAGCACTGGAGAGGCCGAGGCAGGCAGACCACCATGAGATTGAAGACAGGGCTACAAAGTGAGTTCAAGGCCAGCCCGAACTGCAGCATGAAACTGTCTCAAAAAGAAAATGAAAAAGTTGGATTTCAGAGCATTTCAGATTTCAGATGTTCAGGTATGATTTTTTGAAGTTTTAACTACATCCAGTGTTAACCATTCAGTACAAGATAAGTAAAATTTATATTCCCTGTGATTTTTTTTTAAATTCATCAATGAATTAGAGAAACTAGACAAGATTAAGTTACAGTATCTTCTTTGTTAGTAACATAATTATTTATAGGGTCATAATCCAGTAGAGTATGCTGTTCCATGACCCTTCCATATCATTCACAGTAGTTACCTTTTGCAGTTAATTGCTTGGCAGGTCTTAAAATGAGAAAGTGAATGCTCTATGGAGTCATTCTTATGTTCTCTAAGATGGCTTTCCTGACAAGCAGAAAATTTATCCCAGGAGAAAACATTGGAACTTCTTATTACTACTTCCTTCCTTTACTGCATCGTGAAGAAATGGTATCTTAAAAAATTGAAGAATGGAAATATAACTCAGATGTTATGCACAAGACCCTGGGTTCAATTCCCAGCACTACAAAACAGTTTTTTTTTTTTTTAAGAATTGACAGTGCACAAGGGCCTGAGTTCAATCCCCGGTTCCAGAAAGGAAGGAAGAAAGGATTGACATTCCTCCAGGCATGGTGGTGCGCCCCTGTAATCCCAGCACTCAGAAGGCTAAGGCAAGATTGCCGCTAGCTTGAGCCCAGGCTGAGCTACATACTGAGTTCAAGGCCAGCCTGGACTACAGAGGCAATACCTTGTCTCAAAAAAACAACAAAAAAGACTTGACATTCCTTTAACTTACACCTTTTGAAGGGTCCAAGCTAATATATTTAATTACAGTGGGAAAATACTTAGCAGCCGGCAGTTATTTAGTTTAGTACTTACAATGCACTTGGCAATAAAGTGAGAATTTCAAGTCCTTTAAAAATATAAGCTCGGGGAGATGGCTCAGTGGAATAAGTGCTTCCCTGGCAAGCGCAAGTGTCCGAGTTCAATCCCCGGTTCTGCCAAAAAATAAATAAATAAATAAAATAAAACAAATCTTTAAAAAAAATAAAATAAAATAAAAAATAAAAATAAAAATATAAGCTCAAGACTGGGCGTGGTGGTGCAGGCCTGTAATCCCAGCACTTGGCAGGCTGAAGCAGGAAGATCTCTTGAATTTAGGGCCAGCCTGGGCCACAAAGTAAGTTGAAAGCCAGCCTGAATGAACTGCATATTGAAACCCTGGCAAAAAAAAGACAAAGTATGCTTCTCATATGAAGAATAGGATATATTATCTTAGTGAAACTATCGAAACTGTTATTCACTAAGTAGTTTTATTGCTTACTACTATTTTGTGCTCCTAAAATTTTTTTTCCTTAGAATCTTACCTAACTAATAATACTGATAATGCTCATTGCCTAACTTTTATTTTTTTCAGTAAGCTTTACAGATAATTCCTTAGACATTTTCAGCTGCTCAGTTCTGAGTGCTTTCACTAAGTTACAAAATTAGATACGCTGTGTTTTTACTTTTAGCTCTTTTGGAAGAAGAAAGAAAAGCCTACAGAAATCAAGTTGAGGAATCTGCTAAACAAATACAGGTTCTTCAAGGTATGGAGCATTCTAAAACTATTTGAGATTATTATTTGTTTTTATTCAGAAGGAATTGAAAGAGTACAGAGGTTCATCAGTTATCCTGGTATTGGTTCTTCTCTGACCTCGCATAACTAGGCTCTTGGGTCTTTTCCTTTAAAGAGCCCACAAAGATAGATTCCCTAATAATCCATTATTAGATACTTTGAGTTGAAAGAGGAGGGTGAAGATAATGGATTTGGTGAGACTGATACTGTCTGGGTTGTCTTAACTTTATTTTTAATTTTTTTTTTCTTTTAAATTTTTATGTATTTATGTGGCACAGGGGTTTGCTGTGCAGCTCAGACTGGTAGTGATCCTCCTGTCTCAGCCTCCTCAGTGCTGGGATTACAGGCATGCACCACCACGCTGGGACTCAGTGGCTGGCTCACCTGGATTCTGGGGCTAGCATGGTGTGCAGTAACAGGGATCGAACCTGGATCCTTGTGCTTGCCAGGCAAATGCTTAGACTGCTGAGCTATCTCCCCAGCCCACTTTTTTTTTTTTTTTTTTTTGAGGCACAATATGCCTTTCTAGTGCCGGTTGGCCTTAAACTCACTATGTGGCGCAGGCTGGCCAAGAACTCACTGTAGTCCTCTTGCCTCAGCCTCTTGAGTGCTGGGATTACAGGCATGTGTTGCTATCTATGCTCAGCTAAAAGGAAAACTTTTAGACAGGAAATCTATTTAAGCTACTCTGTGCCTCCATACTTCTGGCATGTAATTCTCAAAGCATACTTGCATTACACTAAAAAGTATATGCCACATGGAGTAGAATATGATTTTTACATGTTTTCATTGATAATAATTACTTTTCATGCTCACTGTTTTGCTCTCTGGTCATCACAGGGTCATTACAGAAATTACCAGAAAGTCTCTTGCCTGCCAGGTGTTTACTTCAAGGTGAAACTTGTTACTGTGGAGCCCTGTGTCCTCTGAGATATTCCATGATCTTTGTTTCCTATGCCATTATAAAATTCCTAAAGTGAAATTAGTATCAAAGAAGAACCAATTTTTGGTTTGTTTTTATGTTGGCTTAGTTTGATTTTTTTGAGAAAGGATCTCATTATGAAGTTTAGGTTAGCCTCAAACACACTTTGTAACTCAGGCTGGTCTTAAACTCACCTTGCTTCTCCTGTGTCAGCATCCCCGGTTCTAGAACTAGTCAGACTAAACCATTGTTATTTTAAAATTTTAGCTTGAAGCCAGGCTTCACTGTAATGTCAACACTCAAAAGGCTGAGACAGGACTGTCATGAGTTCAAGGCAAGAACCTATCTCAAAATATAAACACACACACAATATTTTAATTTTTTAACTCAATTTTATTAGGGTCCTTTTTGAACTTATAAACTGGGTTGTATGTATTTTTAAGTTGCAAATTCTTTATTTTTTTTTAAATTTTTATTTATTTATTTGAGAGAGAGAGAGAGAGAGAGAGAGAGAGAGAGAGAGAGAGAGAGAGAGAGAGAGAGAGAGAGAGAGAGAGGCCAGCTCAGCCCACCAGGGGGCAGGGCTGGCTGGCATGTGGTGCTGGGGGATTGAACCGCGGTCCCTGATGCTTTTGCTAAGCTTGTTCTAAGTAGGTGCTTTAGACCACTGAGCCATCTCTCCAGCCCTGCAAATTCTTTAAACTCTTATGATACCTCAATTCTGTTATCTCCTAGTGTATATAATCCTCGTTCACATCTACATTTCCATCCTATGTGGTGTATTGGAAATTTTCCCTAAAGGCTCTCTGTCTTGGTGCTGTTTTGTCTTAAGTGTCTTTCCTAGACATCACTGAGTGCCCTCTAGTGTCAAAATGTGAATTTCAAGATTTTATCAATAGCTGGGTGTGGTAGTGCCCACCTGTAATGGCAGCACTGTGGAGGTTTATCATCTTGAGTTCAAGGCCAGTCTAAACTACGTAGTGAAACACTGTCTCCAAAAAAAAAAAAAAAAAAGGACAAAGAGGGCCAAGATGTACCTTAGTGGCACAAGCACCTGCATGGCAAGCACAAGGTCCTGAGTTTAATTCCCAATACAGAAAACAAAACAAACAAACAAAAATTTTTATATCTGGCCATTGTACTTTTTCAGATTTTAAATCTCTTTTCTTTGCCCTTCCTATAAACTTGAAATGTCTAGACATCTTCTTAAAGTTTGTTTATGTAGCAACCTCCTCCTGTACCTAATTATTTTATTCTCTTTAGACTTTCATGCCCAGAATTTTCTGGTGTTATGGTAACCAAGACTAATATGCTATTTCTAAGCCAAATATGACTATACAGATTGCTTCCAGTTTGTATCATAGGTGTAAAGGACCGTATCTTTTAAAAATATACCTCTTCAAGGGCTAGCAAGATAGCTCAGCAGACCAAGCACCATGTTCAATCCCCAATCTTGTATGCTGTACCAGCCCTGTCCCCAGGACACAGTGAGCCAACGACCAGGTCCAGGCATGGTGGCACCTGCCTGTAATCCCAGCGCTGGGGAGGCTGCAAACAGGAGGACCATTAAACTCTGAGCTGCGTAGTGAGACCCTGTACCAAATACATAAATGAAAAAAATAATAATAACTGTCAAAAATATACCTCTTCAGGAGCCAGGTGTAATGGTGCAGGCCTATAATCCCAGCACTTGGAAGGCTGAGGCAGGAGGATGGTTGCGAATTGGAGACCAGCCTGGGGTATAAAGTGAGCTCAAGGCCAGCCTGAACTTCATAGTGAGAGCCTGTCTCAAAAAAAAAAAGGAAAGGGCAGCAATTCTGACAACTAGCCTATGTGTTACCAATAATTCTTTAATGGGCTGCTATTCTTCATTCTAATGGAGTAACAAAGTGATAAATACACTTTTATAGCCCAGCTGCAGCGGTTACATATTGATATTGAGACCCTCCGAGAAGAGAAGGACAATGAAATCACAAGCTCTAGAGATGAATTGCTTAGTGCCCGAGATGAAATTTTGCTCCTTCATCAAGCGGCAGCCAAGGCTGCCTCCGAGCGGGACACTGACATAGCTTCTTTGCAAGAGGAGCTTAAGAAGGTGAGAGCTGAGCTTGACCGATGGAGGAAAGCAGCATCTGAATATGAGAGAGAAATCACAGGTCTGCAGAACAGTTTTCAACTGCGATGTCAACAGTGTGAGGACCAGCAGAGAGAGGAAGCAATGAGATTGCATGGTAAGTGTCTTTTACATAAAGCTCTTAACTGTTGACACCAAAAACTTCATAACTAGTAAAAAATAATCAGATTTTTTTTCATTGATGTTAATCAGTTGTATTAAAAACTGCTTCTAAAACTGGTGGTGGGGCTGGGTGTGATGGCTCATGCCTGTAATCCCAGCATTTGGGAGGCTCAGGCAGGAGTATCACTGAAAGTTTGAGGCCAGCCTAGGCTACACAGTGAGTTCATGGCCAGCCTGAACTACAAAGTGAGACTCTGTTTCAAAAAGAATAAATAAGTAAACAACAGCAACAGCAAAAAAGTGGGAAGTAGAAATATACCTAGTCTGAATTAATTTTTAAAAAATTATTACAGGGGCTGGTGAGATGGCTCAGTGGTCTAAGGCACCTACTTAGAACAAGCTTGGCTAAAGCACAGGGACCGCAGTTCAGTCCCCCAGCACCACATGCCAGCCAGCCCCGCCCCCTGGTGGGCTGAGCTGGCCTCGCGCACACACACACATAAATAAATAAAATTTAAAAAAAAAAAAAAAAAGATTTTAAAAAAATTAAAAAAAAATTATTATAGTAGAAGACACATTGCCATTTTTTGCCCTCTCATCAAGCTCCGATTGTTCTTGCCGCTCTCTGGAGCACTTCTGGAAGTTTCCTTTTGTGTCTTTACTTCTGGTGTTGTGGCTGCTCTTTCCTGAATTTATTTAAAATCTTTACCTTTTATAATCATTTTGACTTTGTAAAAGAGCAGTAAGTGCATTGTGCCAGTGGATGAGATGGCTGAGGACACACTGTAATGGTTTCACCAAGCTGCCTCGCTGTTCGATGGCACTCCACTGCATTCTTAATCATGCCTCATACAGACGTGAATGGGAAGAAGGGCTGAGGCTTAAGCTCAGTGGCAGAGCACCTGCCTGCCAGATGTGAGGTCCTGAGTTCAATTCCAGGTACAGAAAAAAAAAGTGGAAAGAACAATGAGACAAATGTTGTGTGTGTGTTTTTTTTTTTTAATTTATTTATTTGTGTGTGTGTGGCCAGCTCAGCCCACCAGGGGGCGGGGCTGGCTGGCATGTGGTGCTGGGGGATCGAACCGTGGTCCCTGTGCTTTGCTTAGCTTAGCTTGTTCTAAGTCGGTGCTTAAGACCACTGAGCCATCTCACCAGCCCGAGACAAATGTTTTTGAAGTGTATGGGGGGGCGGGTATTTTGAGGAGGTTTAATAACAATGTGTCTTTTACTATAATAAATGTTTTTAATTTAAGTACATTGTCAGAAGTATTTTTGACTAGCCCTTATCACTCAACTCTACAAGCTGTCCAATCAATAACATTTCTTTTGTTTTTACAATTTTATGCTATGACTTAATACTATTAAAAGTTACTTGTTTCAAAAAAATGAAGTAAAAAAAATATTATTTATGTTCATTTTCATACAAAGTAGTGGGAATCATTAGCTATGTAAAAAATTACACATCTTCAAGGGCAAAATAATATAATATGTTCTTTGAGATATTTCCCTTCGTCTTTTGAGCATGGAATTATGTTCCTATATTGACAGACGTGTTTTGGAATTATTTTAGGTGAACTAGAAAAGTTGAGAAAGGAATGGAATGTATTGGAAACCGAGTGCCATTCTCTGAAAAGGGAAAATGTTTTGCTATCATCAGAACTGCAACGGCAAGAAAAAGAACTGCACAAGTATGCAAAAACCCTCTAACCTCCAAATATTTATATTAAATTTAGTTTTGATACTTCAATGCCTTTCTATTAAGAACAATGATTAGATGAGTAATGAAGAATTTGAATACTGAAATGTATACATTCAGCTCAGAATTTCAAACATGGTTATAAAAAAGAATAATATATAAGATCAAAAGTTCTCCAAAACCAATTAAATATCCTAGTGTCTGATACCTTACAAGCAAACCGATAAATTAGATTTATTCCAACAAATTTAGAGTGCTATTTCCTCATCATTTGTCTTCCTCTCCTTTCATCCCACATACTAGTGTTTGAATCCAGGGCCTTTACATTGAGAGATATGCTAAGCTTGTCTGCTACCCCCCCCCCCTGCACACTTTTTTTTTTGCCACAGGCTCTAAGGCACTGAATTGGCCCAAGTTGGACCTGAATATTTTTCTTTTTAATTTTGTTAACATTTATTTATTTATTTGGTACAGGGTCTCGCTTCACAGCTCAGACTCATGGTGATCCTCAGCCTCTGCAGTGCTAGGATTACAGGCATGCACCACCATGCCTGGTTTTCAGTGGCTGGCTCAGCAAGGGGCCAGCATAGCATGTGGTACAGGGGATTGAACTTGGGTCATTGCACTTGCCAGGCAGGTGCTTAGACACCAAGCTATTTCCTTGCCCCCGGTTCTGAATTTGCGATCTTCCTGCCTCACTCTCTTAGAGTGCTAGAATTAGTCATGTGCCCCATGTGCTAGGCTGAAACTCATGGTGATCCTCCTGCTTTAGCCTCCAAATTCTGGGATTATAGGCAGGCATATACAATACCCAGCTCTTTTTTAAAAACCAGCTTCTTCTCTAAAATGTGGTCTATCCCTCCATTGTTGGAGATTCAGCCTAGACCCTCTCACATTTTAGGCAAGCATGCTGCCACTGAGCTTTTTGAATCTTGATTTTGAGACAGATCTCACCACATTGACTAGATTGGCCTTGAAATTGTTAAGATTCTCCTGCCTCAGCCTCTCTACTAGCATATTTTATAAAACAATGTATTCTAATTCAGAGTTATGAAACTAGTATTTATTTCTTTTGTGGAGGGTAAGGTGGGGTACTGGAGAGAGTCCCCTGAGCTCTCTAGCCATTTTTCAATTTGAGACAGGGCCTTGGTGAGTCACTAAATTGCCCAGACTGGGCTCAAATTTTTGATCTTCCTGCCTGAGTCTCCCAGGGTGCTAGGATTAGAAGAGTATACCACCATGCCTGTCATCCATGTTTCTTGTTGAAGCCCTTCTTTTTTTTGCAGTTTTTTTTTTTTTTTTTTTTTTTGGGGGGGGGAGGTTGAGACAGCCTCAAAAAAGTAGCTCATTAAGCTGCCCTTGAACTCACTGTATAGCTCAAACAGGCTTCCAACTAGGCATGTGCCACCATGTCCAGCACTGGAGCCACTCTTAATTACAGACACTCCTTGATAAATGAGTTGTATCTAGTATGTGCATTACAACATTCATAACAAAGAAATGTTCAAAGGAAACTCCAACTTGTTGACTTTGCTTTTATTTGCGTAATTCTTACATGTAGTACTTGCTGTATAACAATATAAAAGTACAGTACTATTGTATACAGTCAATGAAAATTATAATTATGTATAAATAGTGTGTACAAAAAAAGACATTGAGGGCTGGTGAGATGGCTCAGTGGTCTAAAGCACCTACTTAGAACAAGCTAAGCAAAGCACGGGGGACCGTGGTTCAATCCCCCAGGACCACATGCCAGCCAGCCCCGCCCCCTGGTGGGCTGAGCTGGCCACACATAAATAAATAAATAAATAAATAAATAA